TGATCGTGTAAGACACCAGCCGAGCCGAGCCGAGCCGTGCCGAGCCGAGCCGAGTTTTAGTAATTAACAATTCTCGCAGATTTGTATAACCGTGTGCTAGGAAGATTGCATAACACCAAATGAGATAGGCACACGAAAATTTCAGTGCTTGTTGCTTCAGTGGACGTGAATGGTGTTATGTCGTGCAACGGGGCTTTGCGCTCGCTTAATACGTGAATGGACGCTGAAGGAGTTTCGGGAGCCATACGATCGGGACGAATCGCAGGCCAACGCTCGCAACCTGCAGACGTAAATCGAAATTGTTAGTATTCCTGTTTAGCTGTCTAATTTTTTTTTCCATATTGTCTTTCTTGACGTACATACACAGAACAGGCGATGAGTACTAGCTGGAGACATGTAACTCAAGATCGGAAGACCTGGCATAACTGCTCTCGGTGTATCGGAGCATCCTACTAACATCACTAACAGGGAATACCACAATAATAGCCTGAGCAATTTCAGTATTCTCGGTATTATAAAACACGTTATAAATTATTCTTGTTTATTTCTTTCGACATATTTCGTCGCCTTTGAAACCTGTTATGTGGATATGCGATTGCAGTGAGCCTGTGCCCACAAGTGAATTCTTGCTTACACGTGAATCCGCACTTGCACTTGATTTGACATCTGCGCGTAAATTCATCCTTGCATGCGAAACCGTCCTTGCACATGAGTTCGCTACTTCAAGTGAATCCATGCCTGCACAAAAACCCGTGTTTGCAAGTAAGCCTACGCCTTCATGTAATTCCATGCCTATAAATGAGCCCATGTTTGCACGCCAATCCAACCCCTATCAAGAATACTCGAAAAATTTTTTTTGAGGTATCAGAAATGCATATGCTATCAGTTTTGTTGCTTTGTTTGATATGCGTTTTGTTTACAGATTTTTCTGTTGATTTTGCACATTTCTTACACCTTAAATTCAGGAAAAGTTGTCAGTTTAATTTCAAAGTTTTTTTGAAATTAGACTAGTAACTTTTTCTGTTTAAACAGTTACTAGTCTGATTTCAAAAAGCCTGAAAATTTTTTGTTTAAGGTATTCGAAATGGATAAACTGTCCGTTTTGCCGTTTTTTTTTGTGTGAATTTTTTTGCAGCTTTTACTGATGAAATAGTTGCTAGCCTCATAGAATCACTTCCGTAAATCCAATCCTGCATAAATGTGCACTTTAACGTGAGCTTTCGGTCGTACATAAATCCGCTCTTGCACGCAAACCCAGTGCCTGGCTGCTTTTGATGCGTTTCGTGTTTGTAATTCATCCGGGTGGACAGTTGCAAGCTGGTACTGAATAATGAATTTCCCGCATCACTCATGAGGGCTGTCATGCAATCCACATCGGACACAAGTCTGTGGTTTTTTGTGTGCTACAGCCCACGTGTTCAGCGTGAGGCCATAGTAAGGGACATTCTGGCTTGCCGAAGATGCAGAAACCACGAAGGATACAGGGAGGGTAGAGGATGGGGTTTATTTGATCATAAAGGAACCGAATCAAGCAGACAGACGGACACACGCACACACACACACACACACACACACACACATACACACACCACGTTACCGCGCTGACCACCACGAGCATTATTGTATGGAAGAGGATGGGCCCTCGATCAAAAATGAAAATATAAATTGATGATGAAGCGAATAAGTCATCACAAAATTCATTTTTGGAAATCAGTGATTAATGAGGTTGCTGGTATTACGAGCTGGCCGAACACTCATACTACGATGCCCCGAGAAGCAGCGTCTATCCTTTTTGACGCGCAGGAATTCCCTGCTTGTAATACCCGGACTTTGTTTGTTACCTGCGGATCAGCAACTTTGATTGGGGAGGAGTGGCTTCTGTTTACTGTATAAGCGAGACTGAGGATAGAGTTCAGTCCTATTTCCATTTCTGTCTGGATGTCTTCTCAGCGCAGTTCTACCCCTCGCTTCCCCAACTCACCTCCAAACACACACTCATACACATTCACATCATAACTCAGACGTATGGGGCCTTATCCATAGGCGAGGCCAGGACGGATTCCCGGAGTGGGTGGGGGTTGGAAAGACCCCCTTCATCTCGGAACTAAATAGCGACGCGCACCAGGATAGCCGGTGCGATCATGCGTTTTGTGCAATTCCGTTCATCGAACGATTGCCTGTTAACGATTTTCACTGCTTTGCACTTTGGCCTGTGCAAAAATAGTTGAAATGTTTTCTGGTTCTCAAGTTGCGGAATTTCTCACTAAAAATCTCACGCACACGAGATAATTTCTCTATCAAAACTTTTACGGGGATGCATGTGGTACCCAGGGGTGCGTGAAGTCTGAGTTCAAATTTGCGAGGTCGTACGTTTGTAAAGGAAACCACCCTAAAATTTGAGATTCTCAACTTCCGCGATTGCCGAGATAATAATTCTCCCCGTCGAAACTTTCATGGAGCCGCAAGTGTTTCTCAGGCGCACGGGGAGCTGAATCTAAAAATGCAGGATTGTATGTGAGCAGAAAACATCACCATAAAATTTCAGCTTTCTAGCTTTTATGGTTCGCGAGATAATAATTTCCCGCCAAAATTTTCACAGGGCCATCGATGCTACTCTGGAGCGCAGGAAGGCTGAATTCGAATTTTCGAGGTCGTACGTGAGCAGGGATCATTACTTCAAAATTTTAGCTTCCTGGATCCCGTGGTTCCCGAGATAACAATTTACCAGCAAAAATTTTCACGAGGCCGTTCGTGTTACCCGCAGGTACGGGGAGGCTGAATTTAAATTTGCGGGGCCACGTGCGAGTGGGGAACGTTCCCCTAAGTTTTCAGCTTTCTAGCTTTTGTGGTTCCCGAGTTGAAAGTTGCGGACAAGTTACTGCGGGGACACACACACATATGCACAGGCAACCCCGTTACAATATGCGTCTTGTACTGCTGTTACACAGAACAACCTGCAACAGAGTTGTAATGCTGCTGTTCTGAGTTACTTTAGCTTTATGAACAGATCTGGACTTTTAGAGCCTGATGCCTGTGC